GCCAGTGTGATTTTGTTAATTTTATTTCATTATAACTTATTTAAACTTCCTGTGGCACATGGCTAACAGATGGGGCAGCATGGGACTAGAATGCTTGCTTGCAATGCTGTAGTAAAACCACAAAGGACAGGATTTGTTGTATTTGCTGAAGTATGCTAAGTACACCTAAAACATAGTAGGTACTTAATAACTATCCACTGAGTGAATAAAAGACTGGATAACAACATTTGCCCTATTAAGCCAATCCTGAGGGATGCCTAGCTTTGTACCCTTTGACCTCGGTGCAGCATCATGGGAGGGAGACATGTAGTAACACAGCACTCTTGGATTCATACCAGTAACACAGCCTTCATCGACCTTGGTAGATATTTTCCAAAGAACTTCAAGAAGAGAGAGGGTCAGAGGCATCTTCAAATTCTGCATTGAGAATTCCAATACTCTGAAATAGCCTGTTACTAGCCCAAAAGGTATGAAAAGGTAATCATTTTTAAAAGTTCCTATTAGGTTCTCTAAAGGAATATTATTGTAGTCAAAACTTCAACATCAGGAAGTTGGTAGGGATAAAATTGGATTATCAAATCTACTGATAGAATTGAGTTTAAGAGCTAACCTCTTTTTGGAGATACCAAATAGAACATTTAATGTTTTTCTTAAAGGGAAATGGGATATCCTTACAAAAACACATCTGGCATATATAACTTTCAGCACCTTAAAAAAATTACACATAATAGTTCACAACACCAGCATTTATTTGCCCCCAAGTAGTATTGAGAAGTGACAAAAGCAGAAGAGCATTACTAAAGAGACAGATCAAATGAAACAATGATGAATTTTATTCCAAATGTGATAATGTTTTAAACAAAATACTCATAATATGTTACAACAAATATTGCTTATCATTAGGAATAGCAGATCCTAAATACTTTTGCTTTGGAAACCTGATGCTACTAGGGAGAAAATACCCCAGAGTTGATTTTATTGCATTTAGCCTGCCTTATGACACATACCGTCTAATAACAGCACAACAAGTCATTATGCAGAGCCATTTGAAATGTAAATAAAACATCTCCTAGCACTTCCTCATACCTCCTAATACTTGTAGGGACATCTGACCTTGAGCTGAGAGTCTTCTGAAAATGTTCTTCACATGTCTCAAGTTTTCTCCCTGACACATGTACTCTGCCATCCACCCTCAACCAAACCATCTAAATTACATTCAGATTTTTGTGGTATCATAATAACTTCAATATGGGGGATATTTTCAACATTCTGGTAAGAGAGTCCTTTCTTCCCCACCTCACCCTCCCTTCCAAGCTATTTCAGGTTTGCATATTTCATTTTCACATCTCAGTGGGATACCCATCACATAACATTTATTTGTGAGGTCTAAAGGCATAAAGCGGGGGATTGGGAACTAGCATGTCAAAACCACACACTGTATGTGTGTGTCTTAAAGAATGAAAAAGGATTCTTTTTCTCTCAAGACATATAAGCTGTCTCAACAGTCTAAGTCCAAAGCGAATACCACAACCTAATTAAAGATGAAGAGCATAACAAGCGGTATTAAAATGTCTTTTTTGATTCATTCTTCTCCAAGTTATGTTTTTATCAAATGTCTTGTCTCATTAATGACGCCAATAGGCATAATGAGCACACGCACCTTCTAATCTCAGTTCAGAAGAGCTGTCGGAATGCTTCTCTACGTATGTTGGGAGGCATGATGGCCGAGAAAACACAGGCAGGATAGAAAATGGCACTCAGAAGAAACAAAGTCCATTTACCTGCACAAAGGGATACTGATAGACCCGTAGACAAATGAGGCTGCTTTTACAGAGCTCCCGAGTGGCAAATCCCATAATCTCTTGGGAATCAACTCCTGTATTTAGAACTTGTATTTCTGCGAAGTTCTTTCTTTGAATCTAATCATACTTCAGGGACAGCCACGTGAGCTTTTGCACTGTGCAGTCAGAGAGGGTCCCTGTGTTGAGAAAGCGCCCTGCCTGGTTGAATGTCTTATTGTCACCACCTTGAAATTCTTAATTTTATCTTTGAACTTGTATTTTGTAAATGAAGTTTGATGGGGCAATAAAACAGGTGTATGAGAAGGGAAAATTGGTGCAGTAGGCAGGCCTCCTTTCCCTTTCCTGCCCCATTCACACACAGCCCTGTGGGCTCAGACTTCCCATGGCTCCATGATGAGAGAGGATTCTGGGAGACTCAGGCAAGTACAAGGAAGACATGCAATGTCTAGATTGAGTAAGGCACTGACCACCTTGAGAGGCTTTCTATAAATTGGAATTGGTTTTGAAGAAAGAAGGCAATATAAACAGCAAAACATGAATGACTAACAAAGCCCATCGCAACCTTCCAAATTTCTGTTTCCTTGCTGTATTAGCCAATCATTGAAATGGAAAATGATGATGTAGATGGAAAGGGACAGAGTGACACATACTTGCTTTTCCCTCTAGTACTTCCTTGCTCATCAATACAGTGAAGGTAGAGAGTGCTGATCAATAGGCACATAAAGTCTAAGTCTTGTACAGGAATTCTGAAGTTCTGTAAGAACAATACTTGTGCATGGACAAGCTGCAAGATGCAAACTGAGTAATTATATTGATTCTGCATATGAGTTTAATGCTCTTTCTTCCATTTCAAAGTAGAAGTACACATTTTAAAGATCAATGGCAAAATTCATCCTAACCATTTTAATTTTTATTACTTAGAATGGCATGAAATAGCAAAGCACCCCATGACAAGTAGAAAGAGACTACAAGTAGAAAGAGACTGCAAAAAGTTTTGTTGACCCCTGGAGGATATGTCTAAGACTTTAAGTGGATGCCTGATACCACAGAGAGTACCAAATCCTATATTTACTGTGCTTTATCATAGAAATGTGTGTATAGGAAAAAGTTTATAAATTAGGCACAGGAAGAGATTGACAATCCCATAATGAAAGAGAAATTATAACAATATATTATAATAAGTTACAGGAATGTGATTTCTTTCTCTTGAAAAAGTCTTGACAAATATTAATGTTTTTTGGACCGTGGTTGACCAGTTAATTGAGACTGCAAAAAGTCAACCCATAGATAAAGGGGAACACTGTACCTGTTTTAACAGTGCTTTAGGCACTTCTGTCTTGCTTGTTGAACAAGAGGCCTGCATTCTCATTTTGCACTGAGCCCTGCAAATTATGTAGCTGGCCCTGCCCCACTTCCTTCTGCTAGAGATTACATCCACTCCATCTGTTCGGCCTGCTCACCACTTGTTAGCTTTCACCATTTTCTCCATTTATCTGTCCAACAAATACTGACTGTGCTGTGCTCGGGCACGGTCAGGTACTGAGAACATGAACAGGAATAAATACCAGCACTGCCGTCAAGTAGAGTCAAGAAGATGGACAAACAGCCATGAAAAGGTAAAATGCTGAATTTACACAACCCTCGTGAGGACAAGAAATTTTACATGTAAAGTGTATAAACCACCTCCATTACTGATTGCTAATCCACAGCGCTCTACTCAATGATCTCATCTAATTCCTATCAAAACTTATAAGGCAGGTCCTACCATTGTTTCCCTTTAAAGCTACAAAAGAGATCTAAAAAACAAAGAACCCAGACCACTGTGATGATTAAGTGATGCGACCAAGAACTCTGATGCTACCAAGCTTTTTTTGAGGGAGGGAGGGGAGGCAGCTTTAAGTCTTTAACTCCTAAATCTGAGTTCATAAATGATAGCTATCATTCTTATTAATATAACATGTAACTGTAACCATTGCAATATTTTCTATTATTGCAGTTAACTGTCTCCTTTTCTAGCTTCTCAAAGGTCAATTTTAGTTGTATTTTTTTTGTCAAACTGTTACTTGCCACTAAATATATGTATTCCAGTTTATTTAGTATTATGCTGAGACCATGAAATACCATTTCTTTCCACTCCCATTCCTTTTGATCTAACATCATTTTGACCTAAATTTGAGAAGTTCAATTTATCTGATAAAACTTGTGATTTTCAAAATTATGTTCATGACTTTGTTCACAGACATACAGGGAAGTGGTTACAAGCTAGGAAACAGACAGACCTGGGTTCAAGTCAGAAAGACACGGAACTCTCAGAGCCTAGATGTTCTTATATGTTAAATAAACATGAACTTATAGTTAAGGTACTGTTTTAAGACTAAATTAGATAATTCTTATGAAACACTTAAAATAGCACCTGAGATCTAGTAATCTATTTAACACACACACACACACACACACACTCACACACTGCTTTTAGAACTATTTTTAGTACCACGTTCTCATATCTTGGTTTAAAAATGTATTTGAAATGATCTTTTGCTATGAAATGTACAAAAAAAAACTACTAAATTCAAAGGTCTCTAATTTCCAAGATGTACATTATTTCCTTGTTAGTAAAAGCACATAAAACATTCCCCAGAATGGTACCTGGTAAAATATACCACTATGCTTCAGGGACCTGAGATGTTTTTATTTAAGTGATTTTTCACTAAAACTCTAAATACCACCCTCACGGAGAGACCTTTTCATTCTAAATGGCCTATCCCAGATTCAAGGGCAAGAGAGCTTATAAACTACACATAAAGAACTCTGTCAGTTTTAGCAAGGCCATCTCAGTTCTAACTTTTGAGGTGACACTTAAATTTAAGGACATTGAGCAAATTAAAATGGCCGCACTGTTTGCTCTGGCGGGAAGGGAAAGGATTAGCTAATCTGAAGTTTGTTCCATCACTCAGTCCGTCAAAGCACTGTTTCCCTGGCTTCCCGGTGATTGAAGAGCACATAAAAAAATAGAGTGGATGCCACATAAAAACGGACTACAGACCTATTTTGAAAGAGCTCGAGGGGAAAAAAGGCCTTCGTTTAACAGTTTTGTCATGGTTTAAAGAGAAAGAAAACAGCATTTCTGTAGAATACTATGGCTCCGTCTGATACCTTCGAACACACCACAGCCATGTGCCATCGCTGGGGGGTCCTTACCAATTCCTGTGTGTCTTCCTGTAGAGGCAGAAACGCTGCTTCCAGAAGCGCGAGCTGGTCGGCGCTGAGCTTCTGCCACAGCCCGAGCAGCAGGATCAGCAGGCGGGTGGCACTCTGCAGCCGGCTCAGGGACTGCAGCAGGTCGCCTCGGTTCTCCTCCACCGCATCTGCCAGAGCCGTCACCTGTGCGGTTACAGACTCCAGTTAGCCAGAACGTCACCGCTCCTGAGCCCGCAAACTACATTTGGCATGGCCCTGTTTTTCTTTAAAACAACTTGATGAACTTTGTCTTGCACAAACTATGTTGAGTAATAAAACAGTTATCATTCATCTGCTCACTTCCTCCTGTTAAAAAAAGAAAATGCCCAAAGTAATTCCAAATCCATATGGCCAGAAGAAAATACCTTTTTTAATGGAGACATTGTTCAGTGTGTTCTTCACCACTGACTGACCTCCTTCAGTATATGATAATGTAAGTGGCTTCTAATCAAGTTATTGCCTTTATTACTAGCCACAGATTACTCATTAAAATATCCTTATCAAAATAATTGAATTTGCCTTGGGGTTCAAAATTACAAATTCATTATACCTTTTTCAGCAAATAACTGGAAAAAAAATAACTGGCTTCTCTGATATTAGGATTTATGTTTCATGTCATTGAGATATCCATTATTTCATATTTGTATCTAAAAACTAGATAATGTTAAACATTCGACTTGTTGAGTAATATCATTTTTAGCACAAATGTCAAGCACTAGCCCACGGAGACCTGAAAGAAAAAAAGTTCAGGGTGTGTTAGCTTTATAATGCCAAATCTATTTAGGATAAAATTGGCAGGAGTGAGTTGAATTGGCTTTTTTTTTTTTTATCCTTTTGAATAATCCTGTGGAAAATAGAACTAAAGCAACAATTGGATGGAATATTCAGCACTGCCCATTGGTGCTTTACTTTAATGTCTTGGTGAATTTTGTGCTCATTAAAAGTAATGAACTGACTGCCCAGAGGCTGCAGGCGTCTGACTGTCCCCTGAGCAGAACAGCAAAAGCCAGGGCAACGTGAGCACCTTCATGTGAGTGCCCACCAGCTGCAGCAGCCAAAACTCAGACGCGATGCTGAAGTCCGGTGCAGACGATCCAGTCGGTGATACTTCCTGACACTGGCCCAAAGGGCTTGTTAAAAAAGGCATCATTCTAATGCATCGAGCCTACAGCTGTGTGGTCTCCCAGAGGCCCTGCGAGAGGAGGGGCTGTAAAAGGACAGTCCTCCGAGTGTCCGAGAGACACTTGGAGAGAAATACGGTTTAGGGAAAGGCAGAGCAACGGAAGGTCCTTGTGTGAACACGCTACTTGGCTAAGGGCTTGCACGAGTTGTAAAAAGTAATCCCAGTGCGCATGCAACCCTGCAGGGAGTCACAGAGGTTTGGACAGAGACCAGCATTACATAAAGTGCATCACCTTACTATGTGCCTAGGACTGTGCTACTTTCCACTTGTGTTCAAAAGAAGTACACAACAGTGCATAGCCCCAAAAGGATCTTAAAATTTCTTGGAAAGAAAACACACATATACAACCAATTAGTGGGAAGAAACACTGCTATACTAATATCCTAATTGTGCAGAACAGAAAGTAAGTGTGAAAGATGTTAGCAAAGGGACGGATTACTGTGGGCCAGAGTTAATATCCCTGGGGCCTCTTTTACTCGAATGGGGCTTGGAACTCATCCCTTTCCCATTATTTCAAGAAGTCCCTTCGAAGAGATGGAGAAAGGCCACTTTCCTTAAACCAAAACACCTGGAATCATACGCTTCCTCAACGCTCACCATAATTACAACAGACTCCTGCAAAAGTCCAAGTTTATACTCCTGTTCTGCCTGGGAATGTTACCATTTAAGCCTCATTGTGCGTCCATAATTTTATCACACAGATGCTTACCATCAAAAAATCCAAAGCATACAAAGATCAAGGTCATAAACACCCACAGGGTGCCAGGTAAAGCAAAGAATTTGCGGGAAACACTATAGGTAATGCACCGATGACAGACCCAATTTCCACCTTCCAAGAGATCGTAATGAGAAAGGCAAGTGAGTTCAGGAGGAAGATTCGGACCATGTAAGGAGGATGCTCCAGAGGACCGAGGACAGTGCTGTTATCATGATGACCATGTTAGTGACAACCTGGCCAGTCAGGGGAGCCCAGGCTACACGGCAAGCACATGGCTCTGGGCCACACAGGTGTCAGTGCCTGTAGTCGTCACACTTCCACGAACACATAAGTGGCATCCTCTCTCTTTCACAGATGAGGACTCTGAGGTTCAGCAGATGTTAGACATGTGCCCATAACTCGACAGGCCATCTATGCCCATGCTTAGAAGGGCTCTGTGCTGGTGTAACACCCTGCTGTTTGTCCTGAACTTCACCATTTTATTGAGTTTTTTTTTTTTAAGGGAAGTCAGTGGGATACTGGACACAAGAGGAGCTATGTGCACTCAATCATGTGAGTCAAATTCTGACACTTAAAACAGGCACAGATCACACAAAGATTAATGGTAAGAGTCATGCCAATCATTTAAAAGTTTTTAGTTTTTCCTTACTTGGAAATATATTAAATAGAAAATTAAAAACACCAATCGAAGTTGTGAAGTAGACTACTGAAGAAAGGAAAAAACTGTATTTTAGGAGCTGTTTTAACAGCCCTTTCTTCCTGCCTTTTTAACAAGCAAGGGTCCCTCATATTCATTTTGTACGGATATCTGCAAATTAAGCAGCCAGCCTGACCACACACCTAGTAAAACAAAGAACAGGATTCAAACATTGGGGTCTATTATACTCCAAAACATGCTTGAGAGGAGAAGCACTCAAGGCTCAGAGCTGGTGCACTACTACTCACTGTTGGAGTGTAGAGGGCCTTCGAAAGGAAAGGGTAGAGGAAGAAGCAGGAGTGTGCTGGAGGTGACTAAGCTAAAGAGAAAGAATTGTTTGATTTTCAGGAATTTTGCAAGCCAGTTAAACATTGTCATTACTAAAAATTAAAACAAACTTAAAAGTAAATAAAGTACTTTAAAGCAAAAGTGATAAACAACTGGAACTCAATCATTCCTACTATGGTACTAAGCTCTTGAGGTTCTTCACGCCTATTGAGTCTGTATGTTGGAAACACTTCCCATCAAGGAGCTAATGGCTACCTCTTCCCAACTCTACGTTCAGAGATATCACACTGATGACTTGAAAATGGTCCCAAGGAAATAAGGTACACTTTGAGTTCCACCTACTTTCCCTGTCACCCCATGAGTCACTTTGCCCTTCAAAAACTAAAACTTTAAAAAAAAAAAAAAAATAGAGGCCAGTGCTGTAGCGTAGCAGGTAAAGCTGCTGCCTGCAATGCCAGCATCCCACATGGGTGGGCAGTTCAAGTTCTGGCTGTTCCACTTCTGATCCAGCTCCCTGCCAATGCACCTGGGAAAGCAGCGCAAAGTCTCTCCACATGAGAGAGTTGGATGAAGCTTCTGGCTCCTAGCCTGCCTCTCCCCCTCTGTAACTCTGCCTTTCAAATAAATAAATCCTAAAAAATGGATATTGGGTCAGGGCACTTTAAAAGTGAAGGAAGCTACATGAAAAAAGCATTAAAGCAGAAAAGCAGAGGATGCTTGTTTGGGAATGAACTACCATTCCACTCTGGGAAACACAAGGATGACACTAAGAAGCTCAGCTGGCCTACTGCCACAAGGCCCCAGAATGTTACAGTGAAGAGCGCGCACTTGACTCCGTAGGCACTGGGGAGCCACGGAGTATTCCGGGTGTGACCCTTTCTAGACGGAGGCTGCACTCTAAGCAGTCAGTGGATCGTAATAAATATTTGGGGCATTTGCTAGGACTTAAGTGAAGCCTTTATGCACGTTCCTCACTATCAGGGGAAAATTCTCACTAAGTGTAACAGCATGTCAGTTCATGGACCCACCCAACTTGCTAAACACAGCTGTGGTGGATGAACGACTCAGCGAGACAGCAGCCCAAGCCACAGGCTCTTTCCTGAGCAGGGCCCAAGACACATTAATACGAGAGCAGCATTGTCTCTCTGTGTTCAGTCTCAGTGGATGCATTGCTGTGCCATTGTGGAAAGAGTCTGCTATCCCCAAGTGGTCATGGAAATTGGAAAGAATTGGGATAAACAATTCCTTATGTAAATTACCCCCAAGGACAATCTCCCTGACCTACTGGCCAGCATGAAATACTAAACAGACCTCCATGTTCTCAATTTAGTTTTACACGTAACAGCCAAGTTTATACTTTGTTCTCCATGAGAGCCAAATGAATCTAGCAGAATTAGCCCAGTAAGAAGGGCTGGGAAAACTAGACCATCAAGACTGAGGTCTGTGTGACCAGGACCTAGAAGAGCTCACACTGTTCACCTGGAACTGAGAACAGAGGCCAACCAGCTCCAGCTGCGAGGACTTAAACTGGGGTGGGGGAAGGTGGAGGGGTTCAGGGCTCACCACCAGCTGAACAAGATGTGTGTTCCCTAGTGTTCAATAGGACTAAAGAAAGGAAGGGCTTTAGGAAACAATAAATGCTAACAGCGTCAAGCACAATGTGTTGATGACCTTTGTTTTGCTTTTTCAAATTGAAGGTTTCCAAATAAAAGGGAGACCCCAAAGGACATCTCTGTCCGGCTGCCATATCAGATGATGCCAAAGTAATGAGGCAGCGGCCCAGGGAGCTGCTTGCAGGAAAATGCTCAACTCATAAAGTGAGTGTGAAATTAATCCCAAATATTTCCAGCTGCCAAGATAGCCTCTAAAATTGGTTACAGAAAAGCAGCAGCAGCAACAGCAGAGCAGACATGAATCACACTATGAACATGGACATGTCCAATTTCTTCACCTAAACTTACTGTCCAATCTGCTTCCCAATTTCGTGTGTGGCACACGGACCCCACTGCATTGCTGTTTAGCTGTCATGTACTGAGGTCTGGCTGTGAGCCAGGCACTCTGCTCAGGACTGTTCTACCCAAATTATTTGGTCCTTTTGAAACTCCTGAGATAGCAATCACTGATCCCCTCAACCTGGCTCCTGGGAGAGGTGGGGGAGATGGAAGACCACAGACATCTGAGTGCACTGCCCATGACCATGAAGAAGGGTGGAAAGGGGCAGAGATCCCAACCCCATTTAATGTTTTTCCAGGGGGAAC